CTTTTTCCAATTTTTGATGTTCAGGTCTAGATGTTGGAGGCAGGCTAGGTTCTGGTGATGCTGTATTGCTCTTCATTTTGTTGTATGTACTTCTGCCTTGACATCTGCCCATCTCCTTGTGGATCTTTCTCGGTCTTATGAGCACACTTGGTTCAGACAGAGCTGACAGATTCAGGAAGTCTATCTCTCTTGTCCAGATGGAAGCTCTTATCTGGACAGGAAGTCTGGGGCAGGATGTGAGCTCTTGTCCAGAAGGGAAGTCCAGGTCAGAATGTGAGCTCTTGTCCAGAACAGAAGTCCAGGGCAAGATGGGAGCCCTCTCTAGTCCAGAAGGGAATTCCGGGGCAGGATGGGAACTGGGGGCCAGTCTCTAAGTCCCAGGAAGTGGCTGGGGTCTTGGGCAGGGCATGGAGATTGCAGGGGATGCCAGGGGGCTTGGAGAAGGGGATCCTTCCCAGTGGAGCTAGAAGGGCACCTGCCTGGTGGCATGAACCAGGGGCCAAGTTGGGCAGATCTTCCCTGAGTGGCTGGTGCCCAGGGATGGGGTCCGGGCTGGGCCCGGGTACTCACCTCTGGTCCAGAAGGGAAGTTGGAGGCAGGATGGGAGCTGGGGGCAGGTCTCTAAGTCTCAGGAAGTGGCTGGGGTCTTGGGCAGATGGGCGTGGGGGCAGGGCATGGAGATTGCAGGGGCTGCCAGGGGGTGTTGGAAAAGGGGATCCCTCGCGGTGGGGCTAGAATGGGACCTGCCCGGTACCCAGAATCTGGGGCATAGTTGGGCAGGTCTTCCCTGAGTGGCTGGTGCCCAGGGCTGGCATCCGGGTTGGGCCTGGATACTCACCTCTCTGGCCCAGAAGGGAAGTCGGGGGCAGGATGGGAGCTGGGGGCAGGTCTCTAAGTCTCAGGAAGTGGCTGGGGTCTCGGGCAGATGGGCGTGGGGGCAGGGCATGGAGATTGCAGGGCCTGCCAGGGGGCTTGGAGAAGGGGATCCTTCCTGGTGGGGCTAGAAGGGGACCTGCCTGGTGGCCAGAACTTGGGGCCAAGTTGGGCAGGTCTTCCCTGAGTGTCTGGTGCCCAGGGATGGGGTCCGGGTTGGGCCTACTTCTGCTCTCCTTAACAGGGTGTTTTCTGAGCCTTAGAAGTGGGTCTTACAAATGTCTTGTTTAAGGCTAAAAACTCATTGATTCTAAGCATCTCATGCAACCATGAGGGTAACACAATATTCTTAATCAATGAATACAGGGTCTTAAAATTGCCCTAGTCAGAGCACTGAGAAAATGACAACAAGACACCTAGGGAGTGGGATACGCCTTTATGTGGGGCTGCTGTAATGAAAACCAAATGACAGGTAACACCATCCTCCTTCAACCACATCCTGTGTGCCTGTCCATGCAGTGAGGTCTTGTGGCCCCTTTGAAGTGATGCTGTGAATTTTACTTTCACATCCCAGCTATGTATGAGTGACTTGTGAAGATGGGAGGTGACATTGAGTCTGGGAGATAAAATAACAAGTAGCTTACTGCTGGTGCATTAGAAAATACTGGGCGTGGGATCAAGGAGAATGTAGAAATAAAGAGGACCTAAATGGACTTCAGGGACAAACTTTTCACAAGACACTGTCTTCCAGGCTACAGGTTGGTTTCCATAATCTCCATCTTTCTTTTTCCTAACTAGTCACTAGAAGCCACACTTGGGGAATAGTGATGGTCATTACCAGGTAGGGGACAATCCTGGAAATACCAGGAAGATATCTGAGCTAAGGACTCACATGGACCCTCTCCAAACCCATACTCAGGGCCGGAGCAAGTTTTGTGATCACTTGAAGGACTTAATCTTGTGTGACAGGACCACTGGTTCACACGAATACCATCTCTACAAAGATGTAATACCAGATGTGTGGTGCAGACAGACCCCTACTAGAACCAAAGAATTTCTCATCCCATCCATTTAATGGCACAGTGCAGGGGGGTAGCTCTGTATATCAGAACTCTGCTGGCTGGCCAGAGCTTAGTGACTCCCTGGATCTGTTGGTGACAAGTGAGAGAACAGTGATGGGTTCCAGACCCAGGATATGCCCTTCAAAGGATGTTTCTCTCAGAGGTGCAACCATGTCACAACCCAACACTCGGTGATAATGTGTATGGTAAGTGACCATTTAACACTCTACCTCCTTACCTCTTATGCATGCATAAACCACTTCACAGCCATCAATACTATCTTCTGGTAAGTGTATTATTTCTGCTCTCCTTAACAGGGTGTTTTCTGAGCCTTAGAAGTAGGTCTTACAAATGTCTTGTTTAAGGCTAAAAATTCACTGATAGAGTAAACTTAACCTGTCAGCCCTGATCTGCCTTGCTTTGATGACAAGTACTAATGTGGCCCTTCAGTGTATCTCTTAACATGGATAAGAAGGAAAACTGGAGCTCTCTTGAACCCTGAACTCAAAGCATTTATACACCTGTCAGTCCAAAGGCATATTCCCTGTAGACCCTTGACCTCCAGCCAGAGATGAAAACTCAAATGCTATTGCTTCTCATCCATAGGTATGGTCAGAACCCAGTGATGTGTTGAAGCTCCTGGTGTCTTTCTTTATATGATGGTGATCCTGATACAGGTCATCAGTGGATGACATTTGAGTGTAACCAAGCTCCTGAGCTGATTGAAAAGGAGTAGCAGAAACAGTGAAGCCCAAAATACAGAAGCCAAGGGATGGCTGTGAAAGAGGACCCTGGGATATCCATGAGAGAAATATGCTTTCACATGGCACCACATGTGTCTTCCTTGTGAGGATCAGCTTACATATCCTCACATTTGACTTTGACTGTGACTTTGATCAAATAGACCCAGTTTCCCCACACTTGCTTCCTTACAATTCCTCAGGGTTGAGGCAGCCTCTGTGATCATCTCAGGTAATGTACATGATGTGACTATGTGATGTCAAGGGATCATGGAGACCCAAATGTATATTTTTCATGAAAAAGGAAAATCTGAAACTTAAGAGAGACATACTCCATTGGAGGCTAAGAACAAGGCCAAGTTCTCCATCCAGTCCATGACACAGCAACACAGGGCAATATCATTGTCACTCTTACAGCCCAGATGGATGGCTAGAGCATAACAACATACTGAAACTGGTGGTGACAAATGAGCAAGGACTCGGGAGTCCCAGCCCAGTGCTCTACCCGCAGAAAGAATTTTGCTGTCAATGATATTCTCTTCTCATATCCAGCCCTGGGGGACAAATGGGCTGTGTGGCCCTACTTAACATAATCTCAATGTCTCCCTTAGGATTCTATAGTAAATATAGCCTGTCAATCTAGTCAATACCTGTGGTGGCCTATAGAGATAACATGATCCTCCAGCATATTTTACAACTGAGATATAATGGGTTTGCTGTGACCAAGGAATGCTATAAAGAGCTCTCCTGGACCTTAGACTTATAGGAGATTTCCACTGCACAGTTCTAGACCCTGTTCTCTGTAGGCCTTATGTCTCCCAAGGCCATTGGAGCCATTCAGTTTTTATGGCCACTACAAGAGAAACCTATAGATGTGGTCAGAATGCAATGACCGGCTAGAAATACAGCCCCAAATCATTGACACTATCATTTTATGAGTTTCTCAAATTATTTTTCGAGGTCCTTGCTCCCAGTGCTGTCCAGGTGACAATGTGGATGAGATGGAGTTCTTGAGTTCTTGGCTCTGAACATGTGGGAAGAATAGACTCCCAAA